GGTTCTTTAGCCTCCGGCTTACACACATCTCTGTCTTGGCTCAGGAAGGACGGCTCCAGAGCAAACTGATTTATGCAGTAGCCAAATGGCTGGCTCCCAACTTGAATGCCAGGAGCTGGCCAAGTAGGATTTTTGCTCACAGGACTCCACAGCTTAGAGGGAGCAGTGGTGGTGGGGGTCCAGAAGGGACAGAGCTCTCCAAGAACCCCGGTCTTCCCCACGCCCATAGCAACATTGCTGATATTGTGTCCCATCTGGCTGCAGAATCAGTTTTTTTTTCTTCGCCTAGCTAAGCGAAGTGTGTGTCTCAAAGGGAGCAGAACTCTTGAAGATCCAAATTGTCCTCCCCCCCCCACACACACACCCAGCATCAGGGAAAGAAAGAAAAAAAAGAATTGGGCTCCTGCTCAGATCCAGCTGCGACGACCGTCGAACCCATCCCTTTCCTTATGCTTCTTATTGTCCCAAAAGGCCATCTGCTAACTTTAAGAGAAGTTTGTCTCGCTTATGAAAAAAGGCTGCTGAAAGAAACTCCATTATGTTGATGGCATAACCTTTGTAATGAGCCATTTTAAAAGAAAACGCATCTTTCGTATCTCAGAGATTTCATCTAAATCCCTTATTTGAGGGATGACAGAATTCTCTCTCAGTTTATTGTACAGAGGGCAAGGCAAACAAACAGTTATTCTTAGCCTACGAGGGAGAAGGTTAAAAGCATCAGGACTGAAGAGAATCCAATTGTCTTTGGGTAGTGGAAAGGCGCAGGGGGGGGGGTGTCTTTTGACAGGGGCTTGATGCCTTTCCCTTTCAGCCTTGCGGGAAAGCAGGTGGGGGAGGAGAGAGAGAGAGCAATTCCTTGCGGCTTTCCAGCACTAGGCCTTCTGGGTGTGATTCTCCCACAGTATATTTGGGTGCCTTCTCCGTGCTGCCTTCCACCCAGCTGCTGTTACAGTCCCTAATTTGAGAACCGTCCAAGCAGAAATCTTCCTCTTCAGCCAGTTTGGTGTTGTGGTTAAGTGCGCGGACTCTAATCTAGGAGAACCGGGTTTGATTCCCCACTCCTCCACTTGCACCTGCTGGATGACCTTGGGCAAGCCACAGTTCTGACAAGAGCTGTTCTCGAAAAAGAGCAGTTCCTGTCAGAGCTCTCTCAGCCCCGCCGACCTCACAGGGTGTCTGTGGTGGGGAGGGGAAGGGAAAGGAGTTTGTAAGCCGCTCTGAGTGAAGGGCGGGGTATAAATCCAATTCCCTCCTCCTCCTCCTCTTCTTCTTCTTTCCCCAGGTTGTGGCACTCCTGCTTTCTACCCTCGCAGTTCGCTTTGCAACAGTCTCATAAGAATGAATTTATAAAGGCAAGACTGTGGCCTTTCGCCATATGGAGGAATCTGTTGCCATAGCAGCAGTTACTATGGGCTGGAAGGGCAGTGTTGGATTTGGGGTGGCAGATGGGAAAGACCCGATGTGAGACACCATCCAGTGGGAAGGTCGGCCGAGACAAGTTGCACAAAGCCGAACAAGTCGGGTGGGTTGTGCCTCCTGTCAGTTAGCGTTTGTCAACACGCCTTCTGCCTTTGGGCAGCAGATCTCTCTGGCCAGGGAAGGAAAACTCGGCATGATAGTCACTAGACAGGAACTCATCCCTTACTCGTCAGGTGGCTAAATTCTCTGCACAGGTTTATAAGCATCGAAAATCTCATATGGCAGCATGATTTTATTGTGTATTTTTTTGGCTCTTTATTGCGTTTTAAGTGGTTGGTGTAGAGAGCCAGTTTGGTGTAGTGGGTAGGAGCGCGGACTCTGATCTGGGAGAACTGGGTTTGCTTCCCCACTCCTCCTCCACATGCAGCTGCTGGTGTGACCTTGGGTCGGTCACAAGTTCTCTCGGAGCTGTTCTATCAAGGGCCGTCCTCGAGAGAGCTCTCTTAGCCCCACCCACCTCACAGGGTGTCTGTTGTGGGGAGGGGAAGGGAAAGGGAGTTTGTAAGCCGCTCTGAGACACCTTTGGGTAGTGAAGGGCGGGGTATAAATAAAAATATAATTTTAAATTTTAGATTTTAATGTACTGTATGCTGTTTTAGAGGTACTGTTTTATTGTTTTACTGTTGTAAGCCGCCCTGAGCCGCTTTGGCGGGAGGGCTGGATAAAAATCAAATAAATAAATAATAATAAATAAATAGTTAGTGGGTATGATTTTTTATGTTGTTAAGATTTAATTTTATCTCTTTTGATCACTTTTAAATTTTTTAATCATATTGTACTGCTGGTCACTGACTGTTGCAATAAAATTGATTGACTGATTGATTGAACTCATCCGAGCGAGCTCATGAGCCCTGCTCTGTTGTGTCTGGTGAAATAACTTGCCTTCGGGTCTCTTCTGCAGCTGGCTAGAGACTTAAACCACCCGTCCTTAGAGGATGAGAAAAGGAAACACAAAAAGAAACGCCTGGTGCAGAGCCCGAATTCCTACTTCATGGACGTCAAGTGTCCAGGTAATATTGTCTTCAAAGTGCTCTCTTACGGACTACAGAAGGGGAGTTGAGGGGCTGCCAGTCCAGCGGGCAGTTTCCTCTTCTCGGAGGGTAAGAGCGTAATCAAGGGAAGAGGAAATAGACTTTTAGTTTCCTCGGCTAAGGTACCTGCACTGTCCAACTGGCTCTCAGTGATGGCAAGACAACTTAGGTTAGTAGATCTCTCCAGAAGGAATCTTAACTTGAGCTACTCGTTGGTTTGAGTCGTCCAATATCCAGCTCATAACAGACATTTGTTGAAGTAGCTGCACTGCCAGTTTGGTGTCGTGGTTAAGTGTGCGGACTCTAATCTGGGAGAACCGGGTTTGATTCCCCACTCTTCCACTTGCACCTGCTGGATGACCTTGGGCCACCCATAGTTCTCTCAGAGCTGTCCTTGAAAAAGAGCCGTTCCTGTCAGAGCTCTCTCAGCCCCACCTACCTCACAGGGTCCCTGTTGTGGGGAGGGGAAGGAGATTGTAAGCCGCTCTGAAACTTTGAGTGAAGGGCAGGGTATAAATCCAATCTCCTCCTCCTTTTTTAAAAAAATGAAAAGTAACTTGAGTTTTTTTACACTCCCTTATAAGATTTCAGCAGCTCACCATTAATATTCTCAGAAGGAATTGCTATTATAAAAAATGCCTTTGGTACCAGTTTCCTCACGCGTGACACATTTTAATTTAGATCGGAAAACCCCCTTAGTTTCGCTTTGAGGAAGCAAAGTATTTGATCTCTTCTGCAGTCGGGAACAATGGCCACCGCAGGCAGGGTAACAACTGCTGACGTGGTCTGTTTCCCATTATTACTTATGAAACAGTGCAGCTCTTTATCAGAGCGTTTTGTGCCGAAGGTCAAACTATGCAGATAGCTCCCCTCGTAAAGATCTGTACTTGGCAGTGCAATGAACGGGAGATATTGTGCATAGAGATCGAATTATTGTACACGTGCTATCTCTGTGTGCTCACGCCAATGAAAGGTCAAAGGGGTTTGTGACGTCCTCGCTTATAGGGGAAACGGTTTTACCTTTAAACATTCTTTGTGCATATAAGTGCATGGTAGTTTTCTGCTGCCACCAGGAATTAAAAATTCCAATTCTCTCTCTTTTGGTAGAATGACCTAGGGTCTGGGCACTTCGGAGGACTATGTGGCCCTGAGGAAGTACTATACTGATTTCTGGGATAAGTTTAAACAAAAATTGATTTCTTTAATAAAGAACAAAATAGGTTTCTGGTTGTATTGAACTGATGCTGAAGAAAGGAACTTGTAAATGTAACTGACGAAGCTTGGTACCACAAACAGTCAATCGCCAAACTCCACTCTGACAGGCTTATACACTCTGTATACTCTCTTTCTCTTATATATAGCCACTCAGGCTAGTCTCTTTGTTTTATTCACACTGAATAGAATCAACTCTCTTAGTCACACAGACTAAACTGTTGGTCTTATTCACACAGAATTAGACTAAAAATTCCATAGTCACACAGACTATGTTCTCTCTTCAAACTCCACACGCAGAATCTTTCACAACTCTCAGAGTCACACAGTCTCTCTTCAAAACTCTTCCATACTTGTCTCTCTCATATCACAGAATCTCCTCATACACACACACACACACACAGAATCCTCTCCACACCCCCCTCCTCCCACACTCTCAGTCAGCAGCCAGTCAAATCACACTTGTCGCCCTCTATCACTCTTCTTCCAGCACTGCAGTCAAACTAAACATTTAAAGGAACACACACACACACCAAAACATGGAATCATTACGGGGCTGGTTGAGCAGAGAAGAATAAAGCCGGGTCTTAGATGTAAATAAGAGCAGTGCAGGAAAAACCCATCTTTTGGTATGTCGCCTCCCCTATCTTAAGGAATTCTTAAGAGAGAAGTGGCCTGCGAGGGTAGGAGTCCGGAACTATAAATACATGACCCGACTTGAGGTCTCGACTCTTGGCTGGTGACCCCTCTGCAATCCCTGCCTTGCCGGACTTTGCATTCACACTCTTTGGTCACTGACCGCCTTGAGTTGCAGCTCCGGTTTCCTTCTCCCTTCAGTCGCTACGGATCCTTTGCGAAGGAAAAACACACAGCCCGGAGTTATCTTTCTATCTAGGCACAACTGTCGGTGGAGGAGTAAACACGGGTAGGCGTCCAAACGGCAGGTTAGAGACCCGTCAGGCATGAGCTCCCGCAAATAGTATTTGTTCGGAGGCAAACAGACCTGTCTGGCCAGTGGTTCCAGGAACTCCGTTCGGTTTCAGAGGTGGTTTGCCATGCTGTGCAGGGAGCTGCTGACAAGCCCAGAGTCCTCGTGCATCCCTGCCAAGTTTCTGAAGGAGGACAGGGCTCAGGCAGATGGGTTACTCCTTTCATCCATAAGTCAGCACTCCGTACTTCTCTGGCTGTGAAAGACAGTGCCACCAGATCTCTGTTGTTAAGTCACTAAAGATGCCAAAGGACTCTCTGCTGTAATATGGCCAGCTAGCTCTGTGGGATTCTTTCATTACAGGAGACTGGTTTAGAGATCATAAGGAGAGCCCTGCTGGATGAGACCAGTGAAGGTCCATCTAGTCTCACACAGTGGCCAACCAGTTCCTCTGGAGGGCCAAGAACAGGGCACACAGGTCGAGGTCTTTCCCTGATAAGAACATCAGAAGAGCCCTCCTGGGTTAGACCAGTGAGGATCCACCTAGTCCAGCATCTTTGTCTCACACAGGGGCCAAACAGTTCCCCTGGGCCAACAACAGGGTAGAGAGACTAAGGCCTTCCCGGTAAGAACATAAAAGCCCTGCTGGATCAGACCAGTGAGGGTCCATCCAGTCCAGCATCCTGTCTCACACAGCAGCCAACCAGTTCCTATGGAGGACCAACAACAGAGGCCAAGGCCTTGTCATGATAAGAACACCACAAGAGCTCTGCAGGATCAGACCAGTGGTCCATGTAGTCCAGCAATCCCATCTCAGACAATGGCCAACCAGTTCCTCTGGAGGGCCAACAACAGGGCAGAGGCCAGGGTCTTCATAAGAACTTCAGAAGAGCCCTGCTGGATCAGACCATCTAACCCAGCGTCCTGTCTCACACAGTGGCCAACCAGTTCCTCTGGAGGGCCAATAACAGGGCAGAGAGGCCGAGGCCTTCATAAGAACATCAGAAGATCCCTGCTGTGTCAGATCCATGGTCCATCCAGTCCAGCATCCTGTCTCACACAGCAGCCAACCAGTTCTTCTGGAGGACCAACAGGGCTTGGAGGCCGAGGCCTTCCCCTGGTGTCGCCTCCTGGCACTGGGACTCAGAGGTTTAGTGCCTCCCAATGTGGAGGACTAACAGTGCCCCCTTCCTTCTCTGTATCTTTCATCTGGGCAGCGGTGTGGGTTTGAGTATTGGGGGGGGGGGCTCTAGCCAAATGTTGCTTATCAGACAGGGAGCTGTTTCGTTCCTGGCCAGTGTCTTTGGGGAAGGGCCTTTGACTCTCTCGTCTGTTCCTTTTCATAAAAGGCCGTAGACTTGCCACACTGCCCGGCACTCCCTGTGTGAATGGGCCAGGCCTGAGGCTGCATGCCGTGTCGTTTTCACTGTGGTCCTTCGGGCAATATGAAGAGATAGTGAGCGGCCCATGCAGAATGTAACTGGGAGGCCAAGAAACCAGCCTTGTAAGCGGCTTGGTTTATGAATGGCTGTCTAAAGGAAACCTGAACGGGACGGACAGATTCCCCACCCAGCAGCTCTCCTGTAATCCCCCACCCCCATTTGAAAATGGTCAGTTTTGTACACTTCGGAAGGGGTTGCTCACAAGGCCATGTTCGGGACCCCTGGGAAGGTCTGGCTTGAGGGTTTCATACCCCAGGGTGCGCGGACCCGTTTGAATGAGAAACGCCTGCTTTTAAAATCCAGGATGCTACAAGATCACCACCGTGTTCAGCCACGCCCAGATGGTGGTTCCGTGTGTCGGATGCTCAACCGTCCTGTGCCAGCCGACGGGAGGCAAAGCCAGGCTCACAGAAGGTAGGGGACCGCATCTTGCCCCTTCAAGCCCATCGCCCTTGCACAGATGCACCCCTTTGCCGTGACAGTCACCTCTTTGGGAGCTTACGCATTATTATTTATAAGAATCTCTTGAGCATTTCTCTCCTAACTTACGCGCAGGCTCTAGAATTCCTGGGGAGGGCCCACAGCTCAGCAGCAGAACCTTTTGTTTTGACTGGGTAAGACCTCAGCCTCTCTAGCTAAATAATGGGGGGCGGGAGGCATGGCTCAGTGATAGAGCATCGACTTGGCACGCAGGAAGGTCCCTGATTCAGTCCCTGGCATCTCCAGTTAAAAGGGACCAGGCAGGAGGTGATGGGAGAGACCTCCGCCTGAGACCCTGGAGAGCTGTCAAGAGGGACTGTGGCTCAGTGGTAGAGCATCGGCTTGGTATGCAGAAGGTCCCAGGTTCAATCCTTGGCATCTGCACTTAACAGGGACCAGGCAGCAGGTGATGGGAAAGACCTCCGCCCGAGACCCTGGGGAGCGGCTGCCAGACTGAGTAGACAATCCTGACCTTGATGGACCAGTGTTCTGATTCAGTATAAGGCAGCTTCATGAGTTCATGTATTATAATGGAGGGGCCATGGCACAGTGGCAGAGCCTCTGCTTAGCATGTAGAAGGTCCCAGGCTCAATCCCCGGCATCTCCACTTAAAAGGGACCAGGCAGCAGGTGATTGGAAAGACCTCCGCCTGAGACCCTGGAGAGCTGTAAAGAGGAGCTGTGGCTCAGTGGGTAGAGCCTTTGCTTGGCATGCAAAAGGTCCCAGGTTCAATCCCCAGTATCTCCAGTTAAAAAGGACGAGGCAGGAGGTGATGGGAAAGGCCTCTGCCTGAGACCCTGGGGAGCTGTAAAGTGGGGCCGTGGCTCAGTGGAAGAGCCTCTGCTTGGCATGCAGAAGGTCCCAGGTTCAGTCCACGGCATCTCCAGTTAAAAAGGCCAGGCAGGAGGTGGTGGGAAAGACCTTTCTAGGCCTGAGACCCTGGAGAGCGGTTGCCAGTCCGAGCAGACAATCTTGACCTTGGTGGACTGATGGTTGGATTCAGTATACGGTAGGTTCCTGCATGTTTGATTTAGGAGTGTGCATTCAGCAATACTGAACCAAAAAAATACCCAGAAAATACCTTATTCGAACCAGTGTTCCCTCTAAGCTGAGTTAGCGTGAGCTGGCTCACAGTTTTTTAGCCTCTGGCTCCCACATCTCAGCTCAGGAAGGAGGGCTCCAGAGCAAACGAATGTATGCCATAGACAAATCGCTCGCTCACAATTTTAATGCCCGTAGCTCACAAAGTGGAATTTTTGCTCACCAGACTCCACAGCGTAGAGGGGACACTGATTGGAACATCTCTTTTCTGATCTGACGTGCTTTATGCTTTCTTGCCAGGTTGCTCGTTCAGAAGAAAGCAGCACTGAGCGATCCCTTCGCCGTTGCACCTGCCGAGGAAGCCTTATCCATCTGACCACAGCACAGCCGAATCTAGCAAGTTAATTCTGTTTTGCTTGGCAAAAGAGGAATCAGCAAGGGTGGACCTCCTGTCTCATCTGCAGATCCCCCACCCCTTGGTGTGTCGAGGGGCAACTGAACTCTGTTTTTATAGCTTTTAGTGGGGTGGGGCTATTAACTGCAAAAATCAATTGAATACACTTCCAGCATTTCTTTTCTTTCTTCCGGTATTGATTGATTCCTTATTAGGGGCAAAGAAATGCAGTCTTGCAGAACCCCTGTGAGAGAGAGTTCCCCGGGAAACGCCCGCTCGCAAGTTGAAAGCCTGCGAGGTTTGGGGCGCTGGGGCCAGGCCCGTGCCATGGGGAAGACACAGGACAGGAAGGAATAGAAGCTACGTGAGCACATCAGTTGTGGCATTGTGGCAGGCCTCGCATTTTGCTGCACTCGGGCATGTGCCCCATAGACAGTGGTTATTGACTTCTGACTGTTCAGTCTTTTAGAATGGGCTTCAGAACTCTCTCTCTGGGGCCTGCCTGAAGGGCTGTACAGTTTGGGCTAAGATTCTGGTTAAACCAGGGGTGTCGAACTCATTTGTTATGAGGTCTGGATCTGACATAAATGAGACCTTGTTGGGCCGGGCCATGTGTGTCATATATCTCCAGCTAGCGGAGATATAAACTTTGTAAAGGACACAAACCCAAAGATCTATTTTTTTTACTTAAAATAAAAACATGCTTGAAACATGAGCTCTGTAACCTGCAAACCTACTTTTGATTTATCGACATTCGCCACAGAAATCTCACGCTCAGAGCTCTGAGCCTGGGACCCCGGTTAAAACATGAAATGGTGGAGCGAGTGAGGGAGGCTGGTGAAGCAAGCTATGATGCAGCAGCAGCAGCAGAACTGGAAGCAGGAGACGGCCAGTTCCACTGCAGGCCTGATGGAAGTCCTCAGGGGGCCTGATCCGGCCCCCGGGCCGCATGTTTGACACCCGTGGGCTAAACTGTTCTGGTAGCTCTCCCTTTCCCCATCAGGCCTTCGGTGCACCGCACTGTTCTTAAGCGCTCCTGGGCAGTCTAGAAAAGCAGGCTCTGCTCTGTCAGCTGTGACCAACTGGGCAAAGCCAATCCCTGCGGAGGTAAAACCGGAGACTGAAGTGCCGAAAAAGAAAAAAGGATTAACGTCGTCGGCACTTCCAAGCGGTCAAACAAAGTGGCACCTTTCACTATGAATTCCCTTCAGTGAGGAGGATCTCTGCTGCAGCTACTGTGATTGTCACAAACTGCGTCTTCACTATGCAGGTGTAAAAATGTCTAAATAAATCATTGCTGAAAGTTCTGGCACTTCTTCGTAAGCCAAGAAGGCCTCCTTTCAAGGTGGAAGCATCTTAATTATGTCACTCTTCCCGAGCTGGAACTGTATTTTGTGCTTTTCAAGTTTGATTTTTACCAGAATCAATAAATCCGCTTGATACAAGAACTGCAAGAGTCTGGGCCTTTGTTGTACTGGAACAAAAAAAAAAAAGTAAAAGCTATGTAGATGAAAGCAGAGGACGCTTAATTTCTTAAGCGTCTAGCCACTAATCTGCTGGTGTGAATCAGCTTGTCTGGGTTATTATTTATCTAAAATGTTTATTCGCTGCCTTTGTCCCTTGCGAGACTCAAGGTGGCTTCTGCTGTAAATAAAACATTATGAAAACAACAGTTCTAAAGCCCACAGAAGGTCAAAATTTAAGAACTCCCTCGGAAGCTAAGCGGGGTCGACTCTGGCAAGTACTTGGATGGGAGACCTCCTTGGAATACCAGCAGTCGGGAGGCGGGGGCAGGCTTTCTTCAGCCACCTCTCTGGATATCCCCCAGGCCCCCGGTAGGGGTCAGTCACCAGAGGTTGCCATGACTTAAACATAAGAGAACATAAGAGAAGCAACTGTTGGATCAGGCCAATGGCCCACCTAGTCCAACACTCTGTCACACAGTGGCCAAAAATACCAGGTGCCCTCAGGAGGTCCAGCAGTGGGGCCAGGACACTAGAAGCCCTCCCACTGTTTCCCCAAGCACCAAGAATACAGAGCATCCCTTGCCCCAGGACAGGAGTTCCTATCTATACCTTTAGAACTTAAGAACATAATACAAGCCAATGTTGGATCAGCCAATGGCCCATCCAGTCCAACACTCCGTCACACAGTGGCCAAAAATACCAGGTGCCCTCAGGAGGTCCAGCAGTGGGGCCAGGACACTAGAAGCCCTCCCACTGTTCCCCGAAACACCAAGAATACAGAGCATCACCTGCCCTGGACCAAGAGTTCCTGTCTATGCCTTGTGGCTAATAGCCACTGATGGACTTCTGCTCCAGATGCTTATCCAATTCCCTCTTGAAGCCATCCATGCTTGTAGCCGCCACCACCTCCTGTGGCAGTGAATTCCATGTGTGAATCACTCTTTGGGTGAAGAAGGACTCCCTTTTATCCGTTCTAACCCGACGGCTCAGCAATTTCGTGGAGTGCCCACGAGTTCTTGTATGGTGAGAAAGGGAGAAAAGGACTTCTTTCTCCACCTGCTCTATCCCACACATAATCTTATAAACCTCGATCGTGTCACCCCCTCAGCCGTCGTTTCTCCAAGCTCAAGAGCCCCGAGCGCTTCAATCTTCCTTCATAGGGAAAGCGTCCCAACCCTTTTATCATTCTAGTTGCCCTTTTCTGCACTTTTCCCAATGCTACAATATCTTTTTTGAGGTGGTGTGGCGCATGCACGCACACACGAAAAATACAAAATTTTTTTAAGAACTCTCAATTAGGACTGCCAATAGTAAAAGCTAGATCAATGAAATGCAGTCCCAATAAAACTGTCTTCGACTGCCTCCTGAAGGCAGACGGTGAGGGGGCCAAGTGCATCTCCCTGGGGAGGCTGTTCCGTAGGGCTGCCACTGAACAGGCCCTGTCTCACGTGTGCCCACCAGATGAGCCTCTTTGATTGGTGGGACAGTCAAGAGGGCCTCCCTCCCAGTGACTGCAATTCCCAGACAGGAACGCAAAGGAGAAGACGACCGTTCAGATACCCCCGGAGTTCCCAAGCCACGTAGGGCTTGAAAGGACAAAAGCAACACCCTGAATTGGTGTCCAGAAGAGGGAAGCCAGGATGAGAGGGTTGGGATCCAAGTCTTACGAGGAAAGGCGGAAAGAGTTGGGTCTGTTTAGCCTGGGAAGGAGAAGGCTTAGAGGGGACACGATGGCAGTCTTCAAGTATGTGAAGGGCTGCCATGTGGAAGATGGAGCAGATCTGTTCTCTCTTGCTCCGGATTGCAAGACTAGATCTAATGGGTGGAAATGACAAGGGAGTCGGTACCGGCCAAATATCAGGAGAAATGTCCTGACCAATGTTCCCTCTAAGCTGAGTTAGTGTGAGCTAGCTCACGGTTTTTGAGCCTCCGGCTCACACATTTTTGTCTTGGCTCAGGAAGGAGGGCTCCAGAGCTAACCAATTTATGCAGCAGCCAAATCACCTGCTCACAACTTTAATGCCAGTAACTCACAACATAGAATTTTTGCTCACAAGACTCTATAGCTTAGAGGGAACATTGGTCCTGACTGTAACAGTGCTTGAGCAGTGGAACAGACTGCCTCAGGAGGGGGTGGATGCTCCTTCGCTGGACGTTTTCAAGCGGAGGCTGGACAACCGTCTTTCGGGTACGCTATAGGGCTCTCTTTCGGCTGTGCTCCTGCAGAGTGCGGGGGGTTGGAACGGATGACCTGCAAGGACCCTTCCGGCTCTAACATTCTATGATTCTATGACTTGGGGGGTGGATCAGGAACCAGTGTAAATTGCTGTAGCTGAGCCAGTGACTTGGGGAGGTGTCTTGCCTTCCACTCAGTCAACAGATAAAGTCACCTTGGGTATCTCGGCAAACTTCATTTGATGCGTTCTGAAGCGACAACGGAATCCCAGATTCCACCACAGTCAAAACCTTTCACATCCAGAGAGAGACATGAAGGGGGGGCAGATGCCAGCTGAACGCTCAGTCAAAAATACAAAGTTTTTATTGGCTGAGGCCTACAAAAAGGCCAGTCGCGACTGGTGAAGTGGTCTAACTAGGCATTGGCACATGATTAGGAACCGGCAACGACAGTTCAGCCAGATGTCAAAAGGGGGAGGTGGGTTCTGAACACTGTCCACGTAACGGGACCACAGAGCTGATGACGTTCCCCAAAGCAGAGATGATCCCCTGTCCTCCTTTACAGAACAATTTTGTGCATTACATGATTTTAGCTCGTTTTGTTAAAAACACAGAAATAAGCCCTCTCCACTCATACCGTGGCAGACCTCCTAATTTTGAAGAAATGAGAATTCAGGCAGTTTCCAATCAGGCACCTCGACGTTGAAGAAAAAGAAAACTTGGCAGCGTTGTTACGTTTATCACCATCTTGTTACAGGTTAAAACCTCCCCCCCCCCCGTATTTTAATCATAATCACAAATTTGGCATTCAACAAGTCTGTCCTGCACACACACACACACACCCTAAAAAAAGAAAGTATGAAAACATCAATGTAATCAACCGAGAGAGTGGACGCTCGTGGCAAAGAGAAGTGCTTCTTTTTAAGCATGCCCACCACCGATTTACCACATCAACAGGAGGGGCGTTGCGATGTGTTTCTGTCACGTGGCTGCACTGAAGATGCAATCTTTATCATCTGAGTTCTCGTGGCCCATTTTTTACTGGGCCCAGGCCACGATCCACCTGAAGGCAGAGCTTGGGAAAAGCTTCACTCACCAAAGTGACCACTAAGAAACGAGAAGCAAGAAAAATCTGGACTGAGCGACTCCAGAAAGAAGTCCAAGCCCGTCTAGGGACCGGGCAAGAAAAAGGCAGTGTCCACTCTTCAGCCACTAGACGGATGGCCAGCAGACCAAAGCAAGCTGAGAAGGGATGCCGTGAAGCCTCCCTCGGGACCCTTCCCAGGGGCTCAGACATCAACAGCACAGCTTTTGGGGTCGGCTTCAGCACTACAAGGCTCGATCTGCATCTTATGGAACCAAGACAAATATTGCCAGATAAGAGCCTTTCAGCCCGAACCCGTGCGCGTTTACTCAGAAGGCTTACTCCCAAGTCAACACACACGGGATGGCAGCCTGATGAGATCTGCCTCGTAAATCTGAGATTCAAATCTGCGGGAACGGATTCGGAAAGGGGCAAGAAACGGACGACATCTCAAGGACGATGCCGGGGCGCCTCGTGGCGAGCTGACATTTGGCTTCAGCGACTACATGGGAGAAATCAAGGTTGTCAGATAACCGAAGTCAAACGTTCATTTCGCTATCCGGAGCACCAAACCAAAGGCTGGACCTTGACAAACATTCCAAGAAACCCTGGGCTCAAGTCCCAAGAAATACCACTGGGCCAGCAAAGCTCTTTAAAAACGGCATCCCCTTACAAAAGTTCAATACTCAGGTTCCATGCCAAGCGTCTCTAGAAGAAATCCGATTCACCATACATCCCCCCCCCCCCCCCCCCCCCACCCCGCTCTGCACTCAGGCAGGCAGGCAGCCAATCAGGGGACTGAGTCCCACTAGCGCCCTCTGCAGGGAGAAGGCAGTTAGCTCATCCATGTCTCCCTTGGCTGTCCAGCGGCTCCAAAGGCGCCAAAGTGGGCTCTACAGCCGCTTTCTTCCTCGCTCCCTCCCTCGATTTAACAAAAGGCAGCACACGCAAAGCCGGCTGGCCAGAACTGAAATCTGCCACGATGGGGAACTGAACTGACAGCTGCTCGCCCACCCGCCAAAGGGCCTCTGCTTTCAGCAGAAGGGTCAGTGTTTGCCATACAGTTCTGAGTTTCAGAAACCTCTGCTGAGAAACGTGGGCGAGCCTGGCCATGGATGTAAAACTTCCCCTGAACGGCGACCAAGGAAGACGCCGGATTAAGACACCTCAGCAGGAGTTGTGGCAAAGCAGGAAAAATGGCCGCAAAGGGATCTCCGTCGGCCTCCGGCAAAACACTAATCGCCGGCAACGGGTTTGGCAGTTTGCACTTGGAAAACTTTCCCTCTTTGACTGGGCAGTGCTAGGATTGTACGGCAGCTTCCCTGAGTGGCAAATCCTAACACCGCCCAGTTGGGGGGGGGGGGGGACTTTCTGTTCTGCAAAAAAAAGGATCCTTTCCACGCTATGAGCGCTCGCCATTGACATAACTCTACGCTCTCCTTTTGGAACCTTGCTCAATGGCAGAAGGAGCCGTTCTTATCGGCACGCTGCCCTAACTTGTCCTTTTCAAATTCCATTGCAATCTTTAAGGCAGTTTTGCTCAGGGAAATGGACTGCATATTGCAGATCACAGTCACCACCACGCCCTTGGGCGGCATCAGCGTGCCCCTGCCCGCGGCCGCCCCGGAGTCCCTTTCCTCGGGGAGGATGAGCAGGACGCTGCTTGCTCCCACAGCTCCACCGCAGTGGTACGCGTAGTGTCGCGGCTGCCGGCAGAACCCGTAGGCCGGCTTCTTCTCCACCACCTGCCAAGCCATGCCGTACCGGTCGTCTTTGCTCCAGGATGCCTCCGTCTTTGGCACTGCCGTCCACAGCATCTCGATGGTGCCGGGCTGGAGGTAACCGGGAAGGAGCCCGGGGGCGAGGGCCTGCCGCTGCCCGAGCTGATAGCCATACAACATGGCGTTCCCGAATTTGAGGAGGTCGCCCACGGTCGACAGGAAGCCACCGCCGGCCCACTTGTAGGAGTTGTCCACATAGGGGGTGTTGACCAACTGACCCTTCTTGTTGTGAGTGTAATACCTGGGAGGGAGATGTAAGAAGGAGTATCATCTACCAAGAAAATGAAGTCCCAGCTGTAGCCTATTGGGTACACAAGGGCTCCTTTTAGAAACTACAGAGCCAGTTTGGTGTAGTGGTTAAGTGCACGCACTCTAATCTGGGAGAACCAGGTTTGATTCCCCTCCTCCACTTTGCAGCTGTTGGATGACCTTGGGCAAGCCACAGTTCTGGCAGAGCTGTTCTCTCAAGGGGAGTTCTGGGAAGAGCTCTCTCAGCCCCGCCTACCTCACAGGGTGTCTGTTGTGGGGAGGGGAAGGGAAAGGAGCTTGTAAGCTGCTCTGAGAGACTCTGTGTGAAGAGCGGAGGTATAAATCCAATCTCCTCCTCCTCCTCCTCCTCCTCCATGAGAAGGGTCTGGGAGCAACAGACAAGATATAAGAGGAGCTCAGTGTGTGGGAGGCGGCCGACACCTCTGCAGTGCAGCTGGAGAACGAATGGGTGGGCAAAGAAGATGTTAACTCCTGGAAACAGAATGCTATTAGGTACTTCAGCTTAGGAGCTTCCTGCTTTTGGAGTCACGTGATCCGGAAACAGGAAGCTATTTGGTGCTCCAACTTGGAAGCTTCCTGCTTTTGGAGTCACGTGATCCGGAAACAGGAAGCTATTCGGCGCTCCAACTTGGAAGCTTCCTGCTTTCAGAGTCACGTGCTCCGTCTCTTGCCCACTGTTAACTCCATGGTGTTCTCCGGGCTGATTATTCAATAGAATCTGGGCAGCACGGAGCTTGACAAGGACTCCGGGAGCCGTGCAACAACATAACCATTTTAACAGGGGAGGCCTCGCTCTGTAAACACGGCACGCAGAACTCCAAGGCTGTTAGCCGGACTTGCAGTTGCCTGGCTCCACAACTCAGCATGCAGCTGCCTTCGAGCGAAACGCGGGCAGCGGGAGATGTGTGAGAGAGCTGCAGCGAAGCATCTGAAACAAAACAAGAACACCCCCGCCCCCCAACCAGCATGGTGTCCTGGACACAAGAGATTCTCCCTTGACAGGTGAACCCTGGGTACAGATTCCTGCTCTGAGGGTGGCCCTACGCTGGGCAGGAGGTGAACTGGGGAGCAACTGGTCCGGGAAAGACTGCAAGAAAAGGCAGCTCTGGCCCCATAGAATGGGACGGACTGTGGCCGCAAAGAGGGCTCTCTGTAGTCCATGCTTCGGTGCTTCCCGAGTTCCAAAATAGTCTAGCCCTTGGGAGTGGCTGAGAAAGCACAGACTTCACATTCCTGGGATCCAAGATCACTGCAGACGGTGACTGCAGCCGTGAAATTAAGAGAAGCCTGCTCCTTGGGAGGAAAGCGATGGTAAACCTAGACAGCATACTAAAAAAGAGAGACGTCACCCTGCCAACAAAGGTCCGTATGGTCAGAGCAATGATATTCCTAGTAGTACTGTATGGCTGCGAGAGTTGGACTATAAGGAAGGCTGAGCGCCGAAGAATAGATGCTTTTGGATTATGGTGCTGGAGAAGACTCTTGAGAGTCCCCTGGACTGCAAGGAGATCGAATCAGTCAATCCTAAAGGAAATCAACCCTGACTGTTCCCTGGAAGGCCAGATAATGAAACTGAAGCTCAAACACTTTGGCCACCCAATGAGAAGGGAACACTCCCTGGAGAAGACCCTGATGCTGGAAAAGACTGAAGGCAAAAGAAGAAGGGGATGGCAAAGGATGAGATGGTCGGACAGTGTTATAAATGCAACTAACATGACATTAAGCAAACTCTGGAGCATGACGGAAGACAGGAGGGCCTGGCGTGATGTGGTCCATGGGGTCGCGAAGAGTCGGACTCGACCGTGTGACTGAACAACAACAACAAAAGAAAGGAAAGCGTGGAGGGAAGTGACTTTCCGCGGGGGGGATGTGGAAGCCCTACGGGAATCAAAGGCCATTAAGTGCAGAGGATCTACGGCTGGGCCTTTTGCCCAGGAATACACTCAACAAGGGGACAGCATAAAATAGACTTGACTTCCCTCACCCAGCAGGGTCTTCCTCCCAGAGTGTCGCCAGAACCCCATTCTTCCCGGTCTCAAGATAAACAATGAGTGAAAACCTTTCCCAATCGCCACATTTGTTAATAAAACAAATCTGGAAATGACTGGCTTTCTCTGGAGGCTGTCGGAAGCAGGGGCACTTCACTGTGGAGGGGGCACGGCGAAGTCGCCCACCCGAGCGGGGCCTCCCGCAGGAGACCACCTGCAAATGGGCAAAATTGGACAACTGCCCATCAATGCCTCCCTCTAAGCTGTGGAGTCCTGTGAGCAAAAATTCTACTTTGTGAGCTACCGGCATTAAAGTTGTGAGCAGGCAGGTGGATTTGGCGACTGCATCAATCAGTTGGCTCTGGAGCCCTCCTTCCTGAGCTAAGACCAAAATGTGTGAGCCGGAGGGTAAGAAACTGTGAGCCGGCTCACACTGACTCAGCTTAGAGGGAACACTGCTGCCCATCCATGTGCCTTCTCTGCTGTGGCTTTCCGCAAACGATGCAAAACTGAATTATTCAAGAGGGCTTTTCTACGCGGGGCAACAGGGTACCCTGCACCGAAGGCTTCACAAAGTTAACTGGATAAATTATTAGGGACTGTGATCTATACTACTGTGCGTGGTTTGCTGTAAGCGGGATCCTACTGTGGAATTTTGCATCGTTTAACACGTCACGTTAACCATTTGCTTTGCTTCAGTTCTGTTTTTTTTTTTTAATTTCTGGTTGGCCCTACCACTCTGATCCTAATTTCACAGTTTACTGAATGTCTCCATCCCATGATTGTATTGACTCGCTCTGCATAATCCGCCTTGGGTCCCAATGAGAAAGGCGGACTGTAAAGAATGTGAATGAGTGAGTGAGGGCCGGCCGCCTCCGAGATGCCTGGCCGATCCAACTTCAGCCCTGCTAAGCCGTCAAAGGTTCCGCTGCAGGAAGAGAGGCGACAGGAGCTAGCGCTTAAGCTCCGCTCTGCACCGAGGCACCCTTTCGCTCACCTCCCTGTCCAGAGGCGCAGACACTAGTTTTGCAGCCTCCAACCAGAGATTCATAAATGCAGCCAGAAGGGGGCAGCACTCGCTTCTTTTAAAGCCTCGTCGCCCACACTGCAAAGTTCTCTCCCTTTACTTTGCATGTCCCATGAGACCGATTTCCATTTATAAAACTCTAGCGTAAGACGAGCCCAGCTGGATCAGACCAGCAGCCCACCTAGTCCAGCATCCTGTCTCACACAATGTCCAACCAGTTCCTCCGGAGGGCCAAAGAAACAAAGCAGAAAGGCCAAGGCCTTCTGCTGATGTGGCCTCCTGACACTGGGATTCAAACGTTTTCTGCCTCTGAATGTGGAAGTTAAGAACATAAGAACATGCGAAGAGCCCTGCTGGATCAGACCAGTGAGGGTCCCTCTAGTCCAGCCTCCTGTCTCACACAGGGGCCAGCCAGTTCCTCTGGAGGGCCAACCACAGGGCACAGAGGCCGAGGCCTTCCCTTGAGCTTAAGAACATGCGAAGAGCCCTGCTGGATCAGACCAGTGAGGGTCCCTCTAGTCCAGCCTCTTTTCTCCACACAGTGGCCAGCCAGTTCCTCTGGAGGGCCAACAAGAAGGCACAGAGGCCAAGGCCTTCCCTTGAGCTTAAGAACATGCGAAGAGCCCTGCTGGATCAGACCAGGGAGGGTCCCTCTAGTCCAGCCTCTTGTCTCCACACAGTGGCCAGCCAGTTCCTCTGGAGGGCCAACAAGAAGGCACAGAGGCCAAGGCCTTCCCTTGAGCTTAAGAACATGCGAAGAGCCCTGCTGGATCAGACCAGGGAGGGTCCCTCTAGTCCAGCCTCTTGTCTCCACACAGTGGCCAGCCAGTTCCTCTGGAGGGCCAACAAGAAGGCACAGAGGCCAAGGCCTTCCCTTGAGCTTAAGAACATGCGAAGAGCCCTGCTGGATCAGACCAGGGAGGGTCCCTCTAGTCCAGCCTCTTGTCT